TGCAGATTCCACCCCCTCCGATCAGGCCCCAGCTGCAGACCAACCAGCTGCAGATTCCACGCCCTCTGATCAGCCCCCGGCTGCGGACCAACCAGCTGCAGATTCCAAGCCCTCCGATCAGCCCCCGGCTGCGGACGAACCAGCTGCAGTTTCCACCCCCTCTGATCAGGCCCCATCTGCGGACCAGCCAACTGCAGACAAGCCCTCAGACCAGTCCTCGGCTGCAGATCAGCCCGCGTCCGAATCAACGGCCTCCCCAGCTGCAGATTCCACCCCCTCCGACCAGCCCCCAGCTGCGGACGAACCAGCTGCAGATTCCACGCCCTCTGATCAGCCCCCGACTGCGGACGAACCAGCTGCAGATTCCACCTCCTCTGATCAGCCCCAAGCCGCAGACAAGCCCTCAGACCAGCCCCCCGCTGCAGACCAACCAGCTGCAGATTCCACGCCCTCCGATCAAGCCCCAGAGGAAGCTGAACCCACCGAGCCAGAAGCAGCAGCACGCGAATATGCTTATCTGGATGATGATGCTAGTACGTTCCAGATCAAACGTGCTGGACCTACGAAGTACGAGGTGTCCACTACCTACGAAGTCTGGGCATCGGAGAAGGATCATGCAGATGGACGTCCTTCGATCCGGACGGAACCGATCCGCATCGTCATGTCTCTGTGGGACTTCCCACACATGTACGGTCGCATGCACGCGGAGATGAAAGAGAAGCATGCGGGGAAAACCAACCCATTATAAGTCGCGGCTCTGAAGTCCAAAGACTTCGTCCGATACGTCCGCGTCTGCTGAATACATCGGTGCTTCGTATCTATGGATGGCATTGGGTCCTGCCATCTCTAACTCATCTTCGCTCTCCGAATCTAGTTCTTCCTCGGACGTGGCCGAATCGCTCTCGTCCCCGTGTAAGCCATCAAGCCTCCGCAGCGGATCTGGATCGTAGAAGGGGTTCAAGACCTTGTCGTCGAAATGCCCCCTCATCTTCGGGATGAGGTACCTCACTACCATGATCAGGTTGTGATTCACGCCGTGAAACATGTACAGCTGCTCCCCGTTGGGTCTGTAAAAGTTCAGCGTCATGGAACTCAGTTGTCCTATCGGGTGGAATCTCCTGTAAGGCACGCTCGAGTAATCGAAGCGGGACGTGGCATAACCCACTACGGCCAGTTTGAACAGCGCAAGTCCGAAGCTGTGCTTCTCGTAAGAGCGGCCTTTGTAGATGTGGGACTCGATCTCCGGAATTCTAAGCACGCAGTACGAGTCTCCCACTAGATTCAATATACCAGGAGCCTGGATGGTCTGCGTTCCTTGAGAGACCACTACGGTCATGACGACGCTCTTGTTCGTTATGTCCTGACCCGAAACGGCCGCGTTGGTCCAAGTGCTTCCGTCGGTAGAGTAGAGAAGTTGATTTGCACTGGCTATGATGGGCGTGCCATAGTACAGATCCACCTCTCCGACCGTAGTCGAACAAGAATACACCAGCCAGTATTCGACGCCCGCGGTTATCGCCGCTCCGATCGAACTTATGTCGCCACTCGTGGTGAACCCGGATATGCTCTGATCGGGGGTCGGGTAATTCAAGGCGGGGATTTGCGCGCCCGAGTAGAGAATCGCACCGGGTTGCTCTTGTACGGGATCGTTGCTGGTTATGAACCAATCTATGACCCTATCATCAGCGTCGCTCGTGACCGCGCAGGCGATGCGGATCTCTTTCAAGAGACCCGTCTTGGTCGCTACGAATTTCTGAGCGATGTACTCGACTGTAGAACCGTTAGGGCCTGCGAAAGGAATGGCTAATTCTACCGCTTGAGGTCCCTCGAAAGCAAACACTTGTACTTCGTTCTCGGTTATGCTGCTATACGTGCCGGGACTCGAGTATGGGTCCAAGCAGCGGAACCTATCGTTCAAGTATTCGTGTCCTGCAGCATCCTCATCGAATCCCAGGACGGCGCGTATGGTCGAAGAGCCCATGAGAAAGTGAAATGGCGTCGGAGATGTGAATTTCAGCATGTTACGCAACTCTGGCGGGTTCGATTCTGCTACCGTAGTGATGCCACGTAGAGATAGTTTGTCATTCAGAGCAGCGATGAGCGAGGTGTCCGTATGATCTCCGTTTGCAATCTGGATGATCTCCGGTCCATTGCCAACATCTACGACGAGACTGTTATTCACTTCATCGACGCTGTATTGCGTCCTAGGAATCGTTGCATCCACGACATCTATGCCGATGACTTGACGGAAAGGCGAATCGAAAGTGATCTGATACTGGTTAGGATAAGGCCAAGTACGTCTGTCACGAGTACTCGAATTTACATTGTACATGTAGCTCTCTTCGATACTGTTCTCCATGAGATACTGAATATCTTCTATACTCCCCATGGTTCTACTCGCTGTCTACGAAAAAGAGCGCCTATACCTGGACGAAGGCACCTAGAGTATGCGCCTGCGCTTGGCGCTTTCCTCTTCTCCTGAACTATGAAATTCTTTGATCTCCTTCAGGAGGACTGCTCTGATGTTCCGTTCTGTGACCTCCACCGTGGAGTCTTCGTAGTAGTCGGTCGTCATCTCCTCTCCGCAGTCGGTGTCGGTCCGGGCGTCCCCGAAGTAAGGGTGCCTCAACGCTTCCTACAGCAACACGAGACTCATAAGAACTTATAGTACAACCTGATCTCTGCTTCGATGGGACACACGGGAAGCTCATCTACGATGCTCCATCCCCGTTTCTCGTAATGACGCCGCAGCGCAGCTTTTCCTCGCAGGAACTTCCCGTCCAGTGGATCCCGAAACACGAATTCTAGCTGACCAAGCGCGCTGTGCTCCATGTATACCTCTACACCGTGCTTCCTAGCATTGCTGAGAGTTGGTAGGCGAGAGGCTTTGTCCTTGACGGTGCTTTGGAGACTGAGAGTTTCGACGTATATGTGCAGCGTGCCTATGTTTGACGTTGAGAGCCTCTTCTTCCTGGCATTGTTGCGCTTCTGGACGCCTTGTGGAATCTTGACCTTGATCTCCATCTTTGAAATGCCACTGAGAAGCTTCTAAAGTTCCTTATATGGCCATCGTGTGACTTTCGGGCGCTCTTTTCGGACGCTTCGGTCGTAGGGGCCCGAACATCTTTTCGTGTGCCGTTTTTCGGACGGTGTCTATCGATATACGGACGATTCGGTTTCGGACGCAAATTTTCGGGCGCCAGAGAAGTAGCTCACCTTGGCCGTAATCCTCTTGGACGGGTCGAATCGAAGCAGCTGCTCGAGCAGGTCACGTGCCTCCGCGGAAGCACTGGGGAAACGGGCCTCCAGCGAAACACCGGCAGAGTGGGGAGCTAGATCCCAGATGTAAGCCTTGGCTCTATCGTTCCCCACGAACTCGAGGTCCTCTTCCAAGGGGGTTCCCACGAACCTCACGATCAAGCGCAGCTGTTCCAGGTAGTTTTTCCCAGGGAAAAGGACTGACCCAGCAAGCAACTCCCCAAAGATGCAACCCACCGCCCAGATATCGATCTCCGGCCCATACATGTCCTGCGAGATGAGCAGCTCTGGCGCCCGATACCACCTGGTGACGACGTATTCCGTCATCGGCCCATAGAGATTCTGGTTCCGTGCCAGGCCTAGGTCGCAGATCTTCAAGGTGCTGTCGTAGTTGATCAGGCAGTTGGAGGGTTTCAGGTCCCTGTGGATCACCCCTCTTTCGTGCATGTACTGGACCCCTTTCAGCAGCTGCACGAACAGAACGCTCCTTTGATTTACGCAGAGAAGAGCGATCGTTTGCAACCAATGCACAGAAGCGGACCGATGCTGAGAGATGCTCACGCGAATGAGAGGATGTAGAAGTATTCATACCTGATGGACGAGGATCCTGACGTGTTCCCCGCTTATGGCCAGCGTCCTCATCGCTCTGTGCAAGTCAATGTCCATGAGCTCTGTGACTATGTAGACGTCATGAAAACCCTTGTCTGCCGGTCTCATTACGTCTTTGATGCCGATGATGTTGTCGTGCTTTAGATTTTTCATGATGCGCAGTTCTCTCACTGTCCTCTGCGCTTCCAACTTATTTTCCGTCGCATTGATGATCTTTTTTATGGCGACTTCTGCACCCGTCCTCACGTCCTTCGCCGCACAGACCACTCCGAAAGCGCCTTTGCCTACAAGTCTGATGCACTCGTATCGCTCGTCCACCTCGAAAAGGTGACCCTCCAGGCGGTAGCGGCGCTTCCCAGACGGGCAATCCTTGGAGCTCGCCATCCTCTCCCGAATTAAAAAGTCAAAGGGTCCCTACTTTCGGTCTTAAATACCCACACCCATCTCGGACGCCTCCCTCTGCCCGAGCACCCGAAAGAGTTTCACCGTCCGAAAGTAAGCGTACTCTACTCCTCTGATCGCAAAAAGAAGTCTTTCCGATCGCAGAATGGAGAGATGGATCAGCATACGGTCTATTCGCCGACACCTAGGAAGCGCTGCGTCAGCATAGAGGCTCTGGGATGTAAGCTGCTCATCAAGCACGCGAGGATAGCAGAGAAGCCAGCAGAGAATGTCGTCGCGCTGAGGATCCTCGATCACGAGTCCAGACGGGATCGCGGCATAGCTAGAGAGAGTCTTCGCAGTCGATTACAGCGGCGGAAGCTCCTGGCGTCGGCCAGAGATGTCTGCGCCTCGGAGGTGGAATCTCTTCAGTCTGGCAAAGGTCGCTTCGTCGATCTTGATCTTGATGTGGCAATGGAAATGCGTCTTCCACTGCCCCAAGTTGTAGGTCAGAGAGCAGTCGCTGCAGCCAGAATAGGCTCTGACCATCTCGATGGCCTCTAGGAGGATGGCTTTGAGGTCTTCTCCAGGCAGGTCCGTCAGGTGTTCCACGTGCAGGAAGGGTGTATAGATGAAGTACCGTCGATTTTTTAGGTCAAAGTGCAGGCGTCCGAGCTTACCATCTTTGATTATATGGGACACTATACGAGGCGACACGTCTGGTGAACAAGTGTAACAGACTCTTTCCATCACTTTACCTTCCGCGTTCTATCCAGATAACTCGACAGTGCACCCGTGAGGGACCCTGCCACGATGAGAGTGCTCGTGAGTGTCGCATCAGAGAGATGAGCGGAAGCGTTTCTCAGAGTGATGCATGTGCCGGATGTGGACGTGATCATGGACCGGAAGAAACCAGCTGAGCAGTAATTCTCGTGCAGCTTGTCGAGGACGAATCTCAGTGAATGACAGCTCAAGAATACCCCGCCGGCGGAAAGGATGGGCGAAATAAAAGTGTATCCTAGTCTTACAGCAGCTTTGGCACAGTCCTTCATAGAGGACTTGCCCTATATAGTGACCGTATACTAAATTTCCACCGCAGGAACGCAGTTTCATGGACGAAATAGCGAAAATACCTCCTAAAGCTCGGATCATGCACGTCCCTGGCGACGGGAGTTGCCTCTTTCACAGCGTCTTTCTAGCTTTCTATGACTGCTGCAAGGGGCTGCATAACGTGAAGTATACTGAGAAGGCACTCGTAGATGCCTCCAGTCACCTGAGGGGATTGGTCGTGGATTACGTACTCGAGCACTACAGGAAACCCCTCGGGGGCATTCCTGGGAACATGTGCGGGCGAGAACTGATAGCATTAGAGTATGCATCAGACGCAACGGACGGAGAAGGCAGCGTACGTGGACCTTCTACGTATGCGCGCATGATGAGGAACACCAACAAGTATGCGGGGATCACGGAGCTACATGCATTGAGTGCCTTGTTGGATGCCGTCATCGTGGTCCATTACTCGGGAGGGGATGGGCGGCACGAACTCTTAGACACTCTCAAGAGAGGACCCTCGCACCTCATCATCTTGCACGTGTTGTTCGACCCCCAGACTAAGCACTACTCGCCGATCCTATGCAGCGAGCTTTCGACCGAGAAGGGTTAAAAGTTTCTCTTCCCAGAGATCTCATCGTTTATGTCTCTCAGTAGCTCTTCATGTCGCTGCCAAGTCTATCGGAGCGGTCCACACATACCCTTGGATGGGGTTGTAGATGCTGATCCTGTTGACCACCATCCCCTTCAACCTCGCCAGAGCCGCATACGTCAAAAGCTGCAGCACCCACGGCGCTTGGATACCACTCTTCTCCGCGCTGCACTTGATGTCGAGGATGCAGTCTCCCACGATGAGGTCCGCCACACCACGCAACGACTCGGTGGAGAGGTCCGTGTCGGTCGCCACCCCGAACAACTGGTACATATCGTCCGGGGTGATGACCACTGGCAGCATGTCCACGGCTCCGTGCGACTCCAGGTGCTTTTCGATGATCGCCTCCACGAAGCGCTTCGTGCAACCGAATAGGCCTAGGTTCTTATCCTTGGACAGATCTCCCAGGTGGAGGTCGGTGAACGCGAAGTAAGTCCTGGCCAGTGGATATACCAGGTGCGCGCACACCGCTACGTCAGTGATCTTGCGGAGCGCTCTCCTACTCTCCGTGTCGTGGTCGAAGCCGATGTACTCCTTGTAACTCTCCCGGATGCGCTTCAGCGTATCCTCGAACCGCTTCGTGCGGAGCAGGGAGTCCTTGCTGCTCTTTGCAAATGCAGGAAGGCTCCTCCCGTCAAAGTGCATGACGATCCTCGTAGGGTCCACATCGAACTCGGCCGCCAGGGAGCGGACCATGCCCTCCACCTGTTCGGGGGTCGGCTCCGGCAGAGTCCAATTGTCTTCGAATGCCTTTACCCAGAGGAAGCACTTGTCCGCGAAGTGATCCGTCATCTTGACGGGATGCCCCTCCAAGTGGCTCAGACGCAGACACGCAGACATGACATGCCTATATATGACCCTTTCCACCGCAGAACCGTAGAGTATGTTGGTGTCGCCCGAAGCTGGGAAGCCGTGCACGGCGTGGAGCCTTTCGAAGGTCGCTCCGGGGTACGTCCGAGGGATGACCCCACGCTGCTTCGAGCGGTCGTAGAATTCGCCCGAAGCGTGGCGGACGAAGTTGGTGACCGACCTGTTGGGCGGCAGCTGCCCGTCCGTGTCTCCGAACGTCCCAAAGATGGGAGTGGAGGACTTTTCGTCGTCCGTCACCAGTTCGTACGTAGTCCGGCTCGCCGGGAACAGAAGCCGGGTGATGCAGCGGCTGGGGCTCGTGATCAGCAGGGAGTCCTTGGCTCGCGTACAGGCCACGTAGAAGAGGTTGCGTTCTTGCTCCAGCTCTTCCTTCGTCAAGCACCGGTTGAGCATGTCCGTGCAACCTATGACGATCACGGAACGCCACTCGAGCCCCTGCAGAGGATTTATTTTCTGCTGAAAACAATAAAATGGCTTTCAACCCCGTAGATCTCGCAGTACAGGCGGCATCTGGAATGAAACCGATCAATTGGACGGTCGTCTACGTCCTCGCAGGAGTGGGTGTCTTCTTCGCCCTCCTCATCACAGGCATCACGTACGTGGTCATCCCAGCTACGAAGGTGGATCATGACACCGGGCGAAGGAAGAGCAACATGGGAGTGCGTCTTGCGATCACTTTCGTCGTGCTGTCTTTCTCCATACTGATATGCGGAAGTATCGGGTGGTCCCAAGGAAAGGATCTGGCGACGTGCTGGGCCAATCCGAAATTCTGCGCTGGAACGACGGCGATGGGCATGGCCGTAGACGATATCTTTGGTCGATCCTAGCTCACCTTCGCTCCGTGCATCGTGCACAGCGTGATCCAATCGCACTGGTCGCCTTTCCTCTTGACGGGTGTCGGTTCCGAGTCGCCTGTGTAGATCCTCGTCGCGTAACCCAGCTCCGTGAGCTTGTGAGCCAACGTGTACACCTCTCGCTGCGTCCTCGCTATCACAGCTATGTCACCCAGGTCCCCTCCCGTCTTCGAGGCATGTGCGGCTACCTTCTCCGTCACGAAACGGACCTCTTCCGCCCGATTCTCGAAGACTGCGAGTCTGGGAGGCTCGGACGCGCAAGTCCTGACGTGTTTCATGGCATGACTGGATCGATCCGGGCGGATCTCGTTGCAAAAAGCTACCAGTGCTTCCGTACTCCTGTAGTTGTTCAGGAGCTCGAACGACTCGCAGGGGTAGGTGCCCAGCCGTGCGACCTTGGCCAGGAGGGTCGCATCGGAGGCGCGGAAAGCATAGATGTTCTGGTTGACGTCGCCCACCGCAAACACCCTCGTCGAATAACGCTCGACCAGCAACCGTATGACGTCGAACTGCGTCTGGTCAAGATCCTGAGCCTCGTCGACCAGCAGGAAATGGGGCACGAGAGACCGGATGGAATCGGACGTCTCCTGGTCTACCACAGTCCGGAAGGCCCTGAGCAGCCTGTAGATGTGCTCGTCCGGGAGGAAGACCTCCGATTCTGCGTTGCAGAAGTACGTCTCCTTCTCGCTGGCCACGAAAGCAGCCTCTAGCTTCTCTCCGTCCGCAGACCAGGGGCACGCATTAGGGAGGGTGAAGCGAGCCCGTCTGAGGATCGGGTCGAAAGCCTCCGCTAGCTCAAGACAGAATGAGTGAATGGTCGATGACTTCACCCCATCGGGCAGCCTAGCAGACACATCTGCGCTGGCTTGCCTGGAGAAGGTGACCACCCTTATCTTGGACGGACGTACGTCCTTGCACGTCACGAGATGTATGACTCTCTGCACCAGAGTCCTGCTCTTCCCAGCTCCAGGGCAAGCGGTGACCCTTATGTGCTTCTCGGTGTCCGCTTCTATGATGGGCCGCTGATTCGTGTCCATGCTGGTAAGCAATATGCATTAACGTACATGTGTCACGCCATCCTTCCTAAGTTGGAGAAAAGAGACGGTTCGGTTTCATGTTGTAGGAAAATCACTTTGGAACAGATCAATTGTACATACGGAGGACGTATTCTGGGAGACTGGAGGACTGTAGCCACGGGGCCAGTAGTTCTTGTGTACAAGCGACTCTCTCATTCTCTGGCACGAACGGTAATATGCTATCGAGCTGCTCCAACAGTCCAGAGGAGGGCGCAAGAAGCCGCAACTTTTTCAGAGGGTTCCTGAACTCCTCCGGAGTCCCTTCCAGACGGAGCCGTTTCTCCACTGCCACAGGGCTCTGCAGTAGCAGCTGTGCTTGCTTCCAGTAAGCTTCCGTTGGACTCAAACCTTCCCAAATAGTGATGAACCCGTCTCGCAAATGGAGTAGGTTGTGCTTCTCCCCGTCGCACAGGTCATAGATGAGAGGAAACGAATTCACTGCCAAAGAAGCAAGATAGCAAACCAAGGCTTGTCCTCTGTGTGATCCATATTGGACGGGTCCAGAAGATCCTGCCGACTTGCCACTCTGCAAGAACAAAAATTATCATTTGCGCTCAATCAGTACTGCAGCTAAATGCCCAATGCGGAACTCAATTCCACAAAGGTGTATGACTCTGCGTGTTATCCAGTAATTTGTGCATGAGTACTACAACAACGTGCCGATTGGTTCATACAACAATCCATGCACATTTGTCGTGCAAACATTGAGAACAACTTACCGCTCCTGCGGAGGTCGAGATACGCTCTCTGTAACGCTGCCTCTGGTCTTCGGTCTGCTTATGCTCGAAGAGCACTCTGCATTGTCTAGCAGCAGACTCAGCGTACAGACCAAATGGCGCCAGAAGTCCATCTGCAGTGCCTGTGAACTGGGCTTCATCTGGAGCAGTGATGGCGTAGAGTGTCCGATTTGTATGAATGTCATATATCTGGAAAGCCCCCCGTCCAAAAGGCACCCCATACTTCTGAAGCTGTCGCTGATGGTGTTCGAGTAGAGCAGGAGTACCAGCGTCTTCGTTGGGGTAAAGGGAGTAATCAAAACTTTCTGCTTCCGGCGTATCTTTCTGAGGGCGGGACGACTGGATCCTCAGAGTTCCCAGATTCTTCAGCAAAATCCAGTTGGGCCAGGAGCTTCTGAGCTTCCACGGAACCGACCTTGGAGAAACTCTTTGGTTTTCTCTCCTCCTGCTTTCGCATCTCTTCAAGCAGCGTCTGCAAGCCTGCTTGGAACTGGTCCACCGTAAGGACCCCACTCATATCAGCCCCACCTGCAGCTGCAGAAAGCAGAGCAAGTAATGTATGTAAGCAAGTTCCCCGTAACGCAATTGTTGATTTATTACCATTTTCGCCCAAACTGTCGCCCCTGTTATGTAATGGGGGTCACAAGAAAAGGCGATGAATAGCAATAATGCCGGAGTTAACTGGCTATCCCTCAGCCGCCCAGCGTCCTTGGTAGGCAGAAACTGACCAGAGTAAA